TAGTAGGACTAATGCCAAAAAAATATAAGATAATGTTTCCTTAATACCAATGAAGATATTGTTTATAATGATTTCATTCTGAAAGTAATGTTATATACATTAAACAATCGTCTTTCTCAATGATAAACAGTATACATCACTATGCAGTTGAGTGGGTTTCTCATGATAAACTATTACATAATAGGTATTAAATGCCAGTTAAGTGAAGTCTTTCATAACATTTGCAGTTGAGTGCATCTTTGCTGACAAAAGTAACACAGACTTGCAGTTGAGTGATTTTTTATTTTTTAAATTTCATATTTTCCGTTATAATTCCAAAAATCTGAATACATCACAAGATGTGTTTTATATCCCCAAAAGTGCAAAACGCTGAAAAAGTGCATTTTGAAAAAATTGTCAGTTGAGTGGTTTTTTTCATGACAGGGCAGCGCTGCTTTGCAGTAATATTTAAACTGCAGGAGAACGGGGCAGTGATCTTGGTTGCTCTGTTTGTTCATGGTTAGTTAAAATAGATCAATAGTTTAGTTTTCATTTTTTCTCTCTCTGATGTGTCAGCGCATAGAGACCCCGGTGTTATGTGCTAAATAAATCTAATTACATACATACATACATACATACAAGAAAGCGCGTCAAAATACGAACTGTTGTTGTTAACAACTTTTTGTGTGGTAAAGAATACAAAAGTGTTTGACAACCAATAAGCGCTTGTTTTGACGCGTTTCATGAACATTTCATAACACAATCTACTTTGATAGTTTGTGATGTGAGCGACGATTTATATAGTGCTCATTACACAGGGGTTATAAAGACAATACACAGTGCTTAATGGAAAAAATGTGTTAAAGCGACCTAATTTAAAGAGTAGAAATACTGTATGTAATAATGTGGTTTGGTTTTGTGTCTTATTCTCTTCTACTGCTTTTCTGATGTGAGTGCTTATTTCTAGTCTAAGCACATGGCCATACCCACTATAGACATCTACTTTCAATTGTTTTTCTCCATTTTTTAGCAGAGGTAGTCTTGTATAAATTATATAATAATTGTTGACTTATATAGCGCATATTGTAGACTAACCTCTATGCGCTTTACATTATTACCCCCGGTCACTGGATCAAGCACATGGAACACAACATTCAATATGAGAAAGACAAATTTTTCTGTTAATAATTTGGCTCATCCACAGCTCAGCTGGCAGAACACATGGATGGTAATTATACTGTAGACCGTTGGGTTTGAATCTTGACAGATGTTTACTCGAATCCTTCATTTTTCCAGTAAAGACTTTTTCTAAACCACTAATTTCCAATAAAATAAATAAGCAATGAGATTTCAAAGTCTTTAAATCAGATAAATCCCAGAATCACAACTAACAATAGCAAAAGGCAGCATTTTAATGGACCTTTCCACTAAGCTCCGCCCCTTGGATTTTGTTGCTAAGGTCCCACAAGACGGCAGTGTTAAAACAAACGCGAACACGTGCGTTTGTGGGACAACACGTGTGTTTGTAAGACGCGCGCGTATTCCTAGGGTTGTTCTGATTAGTCAGTTGTTAAGTTTGATTGACATTCCGGAAAGGTCTATTGCGTAACATACCTCATCATTGCTTATAGGGACTGAATCGTGCACAAAGTTTCCAAGCTCCCAGTGACTCTCTTTGCGTATCCTCTCAACTTTGACCCGCTCTTCCTCGCATTCCTTGATTGCCTCATCAATAAGCTGGCGTATTTTCTTTATTTGGTTAACTGTTAATGCCTGAAATAAATCAAAAAATGTATAAAAATGTAAAGTTTTAATGTTTTTGCATTATGCATTAAAACATTACTACACCTCCCCTCCCCTGGAATCTAAAGATCAAGAAATTGTGTTAATCACCTTTTAATGAGGTATGCACTGTATCACAGCAAACCAAAATTATTTATCATATGATAGTTATTTACTTTTTTTTCTTACACATTCAACAGCAAGTACTCTACAATTCCTAGATGAAGTAATTATTAATATAACTATTTATATATACTCTATGTTTTTTAGTTGTGATTAACATTAACATTTGGAAATGTCCTTGTCTACTTGGGTTTTAGGCAGTTGCATATATTTGCCATGAGTTTTCCGGAGCAATGTGGGGTGCTAGCATGTTAAATTTGCTAAGAAAGGCGCTACACCAGAATGAATGAATCAATCAATCAGTCAATCAATCAGTCAATCAATCAGTCACCAGAATCAATCAGTCAATCAATCAATCTTTAAGTGGGAATTGTTTTTTAGTCACAAGTTCTAATCTTGGTGTCACAGGATTAGTACCGTACAATTAGAAGGCAATTCAAGAACTTTAACAACAACCTACAGCTTCACTCATTTTAAACATCCAATTCTTACATCATACCTTCAGAACATCTTCTGACAGAGATTTCAACTGACTAACCACATCCTCTGGCGCTGGTGAGTCATCACCGACAGGCTCTTTCTTCTGCAAGATTCATAAAAAATTACATCATTATAAATTAATGATTTTTGAGTTATTATTATTATTACCAACTCCAGTAAACATTGAATGCATATGTTATGCATTTTTCAATGTGTATAATAGCAAGTAATCCTACTCGACAGTTGGTTTATTTCACTAAGGTGTACTGATTGTTCACTTACTCAGATTTCTATCGAGATTGTACATTTTATATATTTTAATGCTTTTTTGAGACAATTAAATGATATTGAAAGTTGGTACTGACACTGTAAAATGCAGCTTTTCACTTAAAAATATCTAATTACAACACTTGTGTAAATGCCAATAAGCATTAAGTAAACACCAATTTTGTCATGCTGTACTATACTATTTTTAAAGGCAAGGGTGTCTCTTGTAGGCCTCCAACCCAGTAAGGATCTCACATGCCCTGGAGTCAACAGCCAGACATTTTGATTCAGGAAGTTTATGGAGTATACAATCTGTCATTTTCTTCATTTTTCTGTTAACTTCGTAGATTAGAAGCATCTATGACTTGAGCTGAACACTTGCATTCTTTAAATTTACCTTCATTTTTTCACCAATTGTTTTACTACATAGATTCTTTTGCTTGTTCCAGTTATCTGCTTGGTAACGAACTAAAGTGAGTAAAAGACAGAAATCAATAAATGAATATACATCATATAGGTCTACCTACCAAATATTAAAGATTAAAGACATAAAAGATGCATTGTGTTCTGGTATAGGCCTGGGCCAACTAACCGGCCTTTGCTAGATACACTGTATGTTAAACCCTCTTTCTATGCTGGGACTAGGGGTTGGGGCCTAGTTTAGGCTACTAGGGAGCATACAGAACAAAGTTAGCAGTAATATGTGGTTACTAAGCATAAATGCGGTACCCTGGTGTACTATTTCGAATATAAGCGCACATAGAAAAAATTATTAGATAAATTTTTTTAATAAAAAGTGATGAGGGCAGGCATTTTTTTTTTTTTTTTTTAATCGGAACAACAGAATATTGGTTTTTTTTTTATTGATGATGGAAGGACTGTTTTTATTCGTCACAAATATTGTAAATTTTGTATAAAAACTGGTTTAAATTTATTGCTTTTTTAAAGAATATTATTTCCTTCACAAAATTGCATTGTTTTTTTTATGCTAATGCAATAAATGATGTGGATTTTTTTTTTTTTCATTCCGCATCAATATTTCTAAAATTTTTGACATGGGCAGGAGTGTTAATCTAAAAATTTTTTCTACTTGCCCTTAGTGGCCAACCAGCAACCATCTGTTGACCTAAAGTTAGGCAAGGCCCAGACTTCTCAAATTAGTAACATTCATTTCAGTACCCAAGTCTTCAAATATCATATATGTTGAAGCTTGTGGTACACCACGTACAGTGTAGTTGAGAAAGTCTCAACGTTTCTTCAAATATCCTTGGTAAATAAAACATTTCCGTAGCACCTATTGTAAGTAATAATTTGTGCAAAATATGGCTTCCTTAAATTACAGGTGCAGGATAATAACCAGGGATGTAGCTATTGAAAATTGAGGGTGGGTGTGAAGGGTGGGGTTTGGATGAACTTGCCAACTATGGGCCAAAAAACCAAGTACTGGTGGGTTTGGGAGGGGTATCCTTCCCATCAGCTAGGGGTCTGGGGGCCAGTAGGGATTCTTGCTGCTTAGAGAGCCAAAATGATCAACTTGAGTAATGTAATTTTAACAATTACTTAGTTTAATTGCTAAAATATATGTACATAAGCCACCCAACTTTTTAAATACTAGGCCTGGCCTAGCCCTAGCAGTAGTATATGTCTACGACATAATAAAACAGCTGTGGAACTTCAAATAAAATAAGAAAGGATGAAGATTTATGGGCTACGGTTAAGTTTGAGTTGTCTAGTGAAATGTAACCAAATATACCTGAAAAAGTAATTTGTTCTGAACTTTAGACCTATTTAAATTATTTATGGGCCTCCTAGAGTAGAGAAGCCTAAACTAGGCCCTAGGCCCTATTATGTACAGTGTAAGGCCCTAGCTAGGGCTAGAATAAGTAAGCCAAAATATTACTGTATAATTTCAGTAATATTTTAGTATATTACCGTACGTTCGTAATTAGGCAATATTTCCGCAGCAACTACGGAAATTCCGTAGTATTTCAGAAGTTTGAAGGCCTAGGGCCTAGGCCTAGCTAGGCTACAATATATCCAGCATGAGAACCTGAAAAAATGTCAATCTCTAGGCTGCACACACAGGCAGGCAGTGGAGTGTACTCACGCTTTCGCCATTTTGTGTCGGCCTCTACAACTTTATCGACAAGTGTTGTATCTTTGTAACGCTTTGCCTGATTAGCTCTTATTTTGTCGGGATTTCCACCCTTGTCTTCCCGAAATAAGTCAAGATCCAAAACCATGTTTTTGGTGAAACAGATGTGACAGGAAAACACGACCGGTGTAAGGTAACGTAAACACCCAGGTGTGGCGGTGTAGTGTGTGAACTAAGAGTGTGAAGTTTTGAAGAGCGCCACCAGTAAAATGTATAGCTTTTCTGCAAATTTAATGAAATATGTGCTAAATTGCGCCATCAACATACAGTATTTCCATAATGTTAGCAAAATTGCATCATTCTATTCTGATTGCATCATCAATACATTCTACATTAATTTTTAAAAGAACTATCCGGACATCTCCGGAATAGAAATTATCATCGAGGACCCATTGAAAATGCTATAAAAAAAAAAAGCAAAGGGACATACCTCGTGCTCAAACGCTGACGTACAAACCGCGTCAACGATCGACCAGAGGGCCACTGGTCACTACCTTTCACCCTAGGTTACCACCACTAAGGGCTATAATTCAGAAACATATGCCCATTCTACAGACCACAGAACGTCTTAAGTCTGTTTTTCCGGATACACAGTTCATAGCCTATTGCAGACCACCTAACCTTCGTGATATATTAGTACGATCTAAATTCAAGAGGCAAACTAACTCTTCATCTTTGTGGTTCATCATGCAAAACATGCTCCTTGCTTGATTCTACACAATCATTCAAGAGCAACCAAACAAACCACATATTTCGGATAAGGCAATCAATTAATTACCTCACCAAAAATGTCATTTATCTCATATATTGTAATATTT